GAGAGAGAGAGAGATTTGCCAACGATGCAGAGGCCCACCGGCCTCGATCGAGCAATATGAAAATAACTCGAAAGGAGTCAAGGTCATGCGCGAGTTCATTTAAATATGTCTCATTCGTCTGGACGCAGTTAATACCAGTATAATACCAGTTGTCAAAGGACAACCTCGAGAACGTCGTTTAAACAATTGGAAAGAGATCCAGCTTTCGAGTATTTTGAGGAAAAAAACTATAAAAGAAAATGATTATTGATTTTTCAAAAGTTATTTAATTTAAGATGAATTGAGAAACAATAGATTTTTTTATAATATACTTAAAACTGTCGCTTATTATTTATAGCCTCGCGACGCTTTTATTAACTTTTCAGTAACTTTTCTCATTTTTTTACAGCCTAGAGATAAGTTAAATATAAAATACGTTCGATATAACAACCCTCTACTTTCCCAGAAGTGTCGAAGACGTTCTCACGCTTTTTGCGCGACGCGTGTAACGCAATTCTGACCCTCCCTCTTGTCACGAGCTGCGCGCTGATTTTAATTAATACTTCCCAGTTACCGGGAAATTCTCTCTTGTAACTAGTTAGCTTTGTATGCAGTGCGCTTCAACCAGCCACGTCGAGCTTTCCAGTCCGCGCCGATTATTTCGGCTCGTGTCACGCCGCCACGGGCAATGCGGGGAGAAGCTCGACTTGTAAACTTGCTCAACTTTATCCCCGCGTGCTGTGTCAAACTATCGAGAGTACTACCTCGCGAGACTCGCGGGCGATGCGAAGTGTATTTTCTTCCCAAGTGCATCTCACGAACGCTGGACGTGCGTATCGTTTTACGGAGATTGAAATCCGCGTGCTGCTGTCTCATCGAGCGACGGTTGTCCCTCGCGGCCTCCACCGCCCTCGTCGCGATCAGTCGTACAAATGACTCGCTCGTGTGATTTCGATGTTAATATTATATCAAATTAATTTATTAATTAATATTAATTAATGAATTGAAATTAATTCTAGAAACAGATTCTAAGAACAAGAAAATGTCTCGTGGACTCTCTACCGTCAACGTAGATTTCGATCTCCGTGATTTAAGAGATATTTGTATCAATTATGTTTCTTAACCCCTCGTGACTCGTCGTCATACAAATCGTTATATCAAATATATTTTTCTACCCAATGATTTTACGTTGTCACCGCGCACCGCTGTCTTTGCGCATCCTTGCATGCGGATGCGAGATCGATATGCGTGACAGATAAATTACAATCGTGATCGACGACCGGGGGTTAACACAGATCCGAACATTATATATTTCATTGTATATAAAATGTAGACATATATACACTTTTATAATCATTGTTGTCATCGTCACGACGTACAATAAAAAATGCAATACGAATCTACAATTATTATTATTATTATTTTCTATACATTGTTGTCTTTGTTCTGGAAAACGCTGAAAGATGATGAGAATAAATCTATGTTTTGCATTCGATATTTAGATTAAAATATAATAATAAAACCGTGATATCTGCGAAATATGACATTCAAAGAATAATTTTCATTCCATACATTCATTTACGGTAAGTAGCGCAGTTTGTTTCGATTTTTTTCTTATCTTTTTTTCAGACATATGTTGACGACTCAATGTATAATTTAAACTTACAACTGTTGCTTGCTTCTGATCATACAATTTTTCTTCTCGTACCCTTTTCCATCCACAAATCCTTTACATTTATTTATTAATAAAGCGATATTGAGAGCCTGATAATTAAAACCTGTTTCAATTACATTGTTTTAAATTTATTCTCTTTTCAGTCACGTAGTGGATTTGCAATAAAACATTTAAATTTTTGGCGACAACATAATAATCATTTTATAAATTTTTATAGATAGATAACTATAAGTATAAAAAATTAAAAAATTTTGATCTTTTAATTTTGATTTATTATTCGATGTTGAATTGGAGTCACTAGTTTAAATTTTTTACAATTGTCATTTAATATTGTTCGATTTTTTTATATAAAAAATGTACAAATATGTTAATGTAATATTTCAAAATTTTATATAAAATATGAAAATTCACATCTTTTTCTAATTCAAAAGGAAAATTCAAATTCTAAAAACTTTAATTTTTCGATTCGTAGTAATTTAACAGATAAGGAAAACGATACGCAGGAAACTCGCTGATTGATATCGCGAAAACGGATGACGTTGTGTCTACATTGTTTTCGTAGAATATAGTATCACGTCATGTTGATATAGTCTTCAGTATGAGTAGAATTGCAAAACTTCTATCTTGAACAACTCTCTTGGCGAACGATACACGTCATCCATCGTGAACGTTATGGCCTCGTCCGCACGTAGGCCTGTCTCAAGTCATCGTTCAGAAAGGAATCGTTAGAGTGTATCACTTTGTAAATTTCGTCAGTGATTTATTGTTTTCATTTAATGCGATAAAAGTACAAAAAATTCTTCAACATTCATCTCGAGTCTACTTTAATTTTTCAGCATAAAATAGTTCTCTCTGATGAGAGGACTATTTTATAATTGCATTCGCGATTACAGCGTCATCGTAGATTGGTATTTCGATTTTATTCGATCTTAAAAACTCGAGATCTCGAGTCTTACGATTGCATGCAGCCATCGAAACGACGGTACAGCATATCGAGATCGTACTTGAGGCCATCTTCAGTACGAGATTGGACCATGAATGCTGCCTACAGTTTTGCAATTGGCACGCAAGCTAATATAATATATTCAGTTCGAATGGCAATTTAAACGTTGCTCGTAATCAAAACGCGCGATAAGAGCGCGAAATAGAATTCCTTCCAGGAACGTTAACCCCGCGATGCGTGCCGATCAGTCGACATGGCCCCGTTTTAACGCTCGTTAAAGTCGTCATTAAGCGCGTCCGACTTGCTCGTAATTCTACCCATAATATCTCTGATTCTACGGACGGAAAGACAGTTTTGGAAATACGAAGTGAGTTTCGGAGGTAAGGTATTCTTATATAGGAAGTGCAACATCCGCACATTTCTTGGCAAATTTAATCGTTTCTTATCTGATAAGACGAAATATCATGTTCTATGAAAAAATTAGATAACAAAAATTATTCTTCAATTATTCTTCAATGCGGAAGTTACCTTGAAATTGATGTCAAGAGCTGTGAATATTCGAAACCATTTGGAGATATTATCTGAAGAGTTTCGTTGGAAAATAGCTTCATTCAGCGTTAAGAATAGAATGTATTTTACTTATGAAATTTTTCTAGAATTCATTAATTTGAAATAGAATTTTTTCGAGAGTGCCTTTCTCGTTAAGATTTTCTCGTACAACACGAAACCACAGTGAACCGCGAGAGCGAACAGGTGAATCGTTTTTTGCTTCTTCTCCTCCTCATGCATATGCAGGCGAAGCGCAGTGCCGTGCTTTCGAGCGCATCTC